CAAAAAACATTTTCACTGACAGTCTAGTTCAAGCACTCTCAAAAACTATTAAAATCACTGAAGCTGTTTACACTGTGGCTTACACTGTGGCTTTTTTGCTCCTTGGGAAACTAATGATAATATTTCAAGTCCAGTCAAATCAAATGTGTAATGAATGTCATGTGGCATTCAATGACATTTAATATATTATATATAGCATTGTTTTCAAATAGTTTTACAGTTGTGTTAATGTAGACTGTCATCTGTGTGTTGTGCAGGCCACGCTCAGTGGGAAGCCATGGCAGAATGCACTGGGGACCCAGCTGTTCCCAGAGCCGAGCTCAGGAGGGACGTGGCCGTCATCGCCTGTCCACCGTCATCCAGCCACTCAGACAGAGTGCTGGAGAGGTCGTGGACCTCACCGTGGATGAGGACGGTGAGGAAACCTATGCTTTTCATTTACATTTAGGGATGTACAGATATTAAATTCTATACTAATTTGTCAAAAAAATAAATAAAATCAGTTGTTTTAAATGCTACTAGTTATTTTAGGCATCACGGCATATACATATAATGTTTAATATGAAAAATATATATCAATTTTGAGGTATGCTAAAGATTACATTTAACAGTGATATTAAATTATTAATGTTTTAAAGATTAACTTTACCTTTGCCATCATTTAATGCTTACTTAAACTAAATGCAAAAAGTAGTGGACATGAGCATGAGCAATTAATCATTCAATATAGACCCATATCGATAACTTTTCCTAATATGGAAGCCAATGGGCAGGGCTGTCGCGATAACCGCAATATCGCAATACTATACTATAAAACTATTGACGAGCAAACCGCAGAGGAATGCAAGAACCGCAGCAACTGCGATTTTTGCGTGTTTTCTTTTTTCGTAAGGTTATGCCCTTCTCGTTTTACACTTCATGAATGTGGACTGAATATTAAACAAGTTAGCAATGATAACATAATGTGTACCATGCTGATTTGTACAGAGGCTTCGTAGATTTGCACTTAACAAGCCTAAACGGACAGTGAATGAGAGAGAGATCGACTGAGCGCGTGCGATTACTTGCGTCTCTCCTCCAGGCCGAGTCATATATATTTGTGAAAATATGTTGTCATGTCCAAGGAAAGCGAAATCTCTGTCTTAGCACCGATGCATAGCTGGTCAGCTGAGCCTTCTAAAGTGGCGCTCAAAGTTAAAATGATTTCAACCGCGTGTTTCATTATGTCTCTCTTTGAATGAATGAATCAGCGTTTTTGACCGTGTAGTTGAATGAACGGTTTAAAGACTTACTCAAAGACAGTCCCTTTCCACCATTTTGTGGCGCAACACTGTATGTATATGTATATGTGTATATATATATATATATATATATATAATGTGTGTGTATGGGCTAATGTGGGCTGTTATATTTGGGTTAAAATACATGCTTTTAAAATAGGCCTATATATTATAAATAAAATATAGCCTATAATATACACTACCATTAAAAAAAAAGGTCAGTAAGATTTGTTAATGGATTAATTAAAACAAGGTTGCATTTGTTTGTTTAAAAAAATACAGTAAAAACAGTAAATCTACCATTTGAAAAAAAAAATGCTTTCAAGTTGAATATATTTAAAAATGTGTTTTCCTCATGCTAAGCTTCACTACTTCAGCTTTCAGTGCCACATGATCTTTCAGAAATCATGCTGATTGTTCCTTAAGGAACATTTCTTCTTATTATAGCTGGCACACACTGACAAAAAAAGCTAGTTTTGCAATGTAATTGACTATAACAAATATATACAGTGAATCAGGACAGCACTAAAATAGTAACTATTTTGAAAATGAGGAGCATATGTATCCAATCTTTCTACATCCCCAGTTCCAGAAAGTTGGGACATTTTCTGAAATGCCATAAAATCAAGAATATGTTCTCTTTAACCTTTATTTAATTGACTGAAAAAAAAATTCCAATGTTTTGACTGGCCAACTTAATTTTAAACAAATTTTGAGCCGTCATCCAGCTTTGCTTGCAAAGACTGAGAAGCTCCTTTTATTCCCAAACATGATACCTTGACCTATTACCAGTTCATCTGCTTGCTGTGAACTGTTTCAAAACAGTTTATTTGGTTATTCTATAACCTTTTCACTTTTATTTTGCCTCTGTTCCAGCTTTTTTGAAGTGTGTTGCAGACTTCAAAATAAAAGTTTATATTTACAAAATACATTTAAGCTGGTCAGTGAAAACTTTGGAAATCTTTTCTTTGTACTTTTGTCAATTAAATAAAAGTTACATTGAATTAACAAATCACAGCTTTGTATCCTTTGACAAAACCCAATTTTTCTAGAATTAGGGTTGTACTTAGATTAAAATCACTGAAGCTGTTTACACTGTGGCTTACACTGTGGCTTTTTTGCTCCTTGGGAAACTAATGATAATATTTCAAGTCCAGTCAAATCAGATGTGTAATGAATGTCATGTGGCATTCAATGACATTTAATATATTATATATATATATATATATTATATATATATATATATGTATGGGCTAATGTGGGCTGTTATATTTGGGTTAAAATACATGCTTTTAAAATAGGCCTATATATTCTAAATAAAATATAGCCTATAATATACACTACCATTAAAAAAAAAGGTCAGTAAGATTTGTTAATGGATTAATTAAAACAAGGTTGCATTTGTTTGTTTAAAAAAATACAGTAAAAACAGTAAATCTACCATTTGAAAAAAAAAATGCTTTCAAGTTGAATATATTTAAAAATGTGTTTTCCTCATGCTAAACTTCACTACTTCAGCTTTCAGTGCCACATGATCTTTCAGAAATCATGCTGATTGTTCCTTAAGGAACATTTCTTCTTATTATAGCTGGCACACACTGACAAAAAAAGCTAGTTTTGCAATGTAATTGACTATAACAAATATATACAGTGAATCAGGACAGCACTAAAATAGTAACTATTTTGAAAATGAGGAGCATATGTATCCAATCTTTCTACATCCCCAGTTCCAGAAAGTTGGGACATTTTCTGAAATGCCATAAAATCAAGAATATGTTCTCTTTAACCTTTATTTAATTGACTGAAAAAAAAATTCCAATGTTTTGACTGGCCAACTTAATTTTAAACAAATTTTGAGCCGTCATCCAGCTTTGCTTGCAAAGACTGAGAAGCTCCTTTTATTCCCAAACATGATACCTTGACCTATTACCAGTTCATCTGCTTGCTGTGAACTGTTTCAAAACAGTTTATTTGGTTATTCTATAACCTTTTCACTTTTATTTTGCCTCTGTTCCAGCTTTTTTGAAGTGTGTTGCAGACTTCAAAATAAAAGTTTATATTTACAAAATACATTTAAGCTGGTCAGTGAAAACTTTGGAAATCTTTTCTTTGTACTTTTGTCAATTAAATAAAAGTTACATTGAATTAACAAATCACAGCTTTGTATCCTTTGACAAAACCCAATTTTTCTAGAATTAGGGTTGTACTTAGTTTTCTTTAAAGTATTTGTAAGCAAACATTTAAATATTCTCACAAAATGTATGAAATACAGTAAAGTATGGTTAACATTTCTTCCATTTGCATGCGTAAATGGAGTATTTACCCACCAAAATAACCATGTCCACTAAGTCAGAAAAAGTCTATATATTCTATAAAAACTATTTTCTCAGAGGGTCAGCTTGTTCTGTTTATTGTGAAGATGATTTTGGACAATTGTATGTGACCCTATATATGTAAAACCAATAAAAAATTATATAGATATTAAAAGCAGGGGATGTGTCGTATCAGTTATATCCATTGCTTCTGCATTCTGAGTCTTGCATTCGATGATGACACACACAAACCAGGATGAAGACGAGGGAGCTGACATAAGACAAAAGCAAGCAATTTGGCTGCTAAAAGAAAAGATGGTCAATTAAAAACAAAGGCATGGAGAAATCAAGAGTTTGGAGACCACCGGAGACACCAGCAACCAACAACGACCTGGTCGGCTGAGAAAAACAACAGCAGTTGATGACAGACAAATCATAAAAGCTGTGAAAATGAACCCTAAAATACATGACTGTAAAATCACCAACAAGCTCCAGAAAGCTGGGTGATGCTGACGATCTACTGTCCGCAGGAGACTTTGACAGAATTACAGAGGCTACAGTAAGATGCAAACCTCTGAGCAGCACCAAAAACAGAAAGGCAAGATTAGAGTTTGCAAAAAAGCACAAAGTTGAGCCAGTGGAGTTTTGGAACAGAGTTTTATGGACAGATGAGACAACGATTAACCTTCATCTAAGTGATGGGAAAGCAAAAGTGTGGCGAAAAAGGGAACTGTAAATGATCCTGAGCATACAACTTCATCTGAAAAGCATGGTGGAGGTGGTGTCATGGCGTGGGCATGTATGACTGTCTCTGGAACAGGCCCTCTCAACTTTAATGATGACTTAATGTTTGATGACAGCAGCAGCATGAATTTGGAAGGCTACAAAACCATCTTGGCTACCAATAATCAAGAAAATGCCACTAGATTCATCAGAAAGCACTTCACATTGCATCAGGACAATGACCCAAAACACCCTGCTAGTTGTCAAGGACTTTATCAGGGCAAAGAAACGGAAAGTCTTAGATTGCCCAAATCAATCTCCAGATTGAAATCTGACTGAACATGAATTTCACCAGCTGAAGAGGAGACTAAAGGCAGAAACTCCCCAAAACAAGCAACAGTTGGAATTGACTGCATTAAAGACTGGGGAAAGCATTTCAATGGATTAGACCAAGAGTCTGGTGAAGTCTATGGGTCACAGACGCAAGGCTCTGATTGCATACAAGGGATCTGCAACTAAATAACTTTATATCTTTACATCTGGCTTACGTTCATCTGTCCCAATACTTATGCTCACATCAGATAGTGGGATGAACTCTAAAAGTGCTGTGCTTTTTATTTGGTAAAACATGTTGAAACACCCAATAATAAAATATGACATTCTGTAATTTTGTCTCATATTTGCAGATATCTTGACTAATGATTAGTGTCATTAGAGAGTGTAGTCCACATAACATCGATTACACTGAAAATCCAATTGGGTAAATCACATTCAAACCCAGTAGTGCTAAATCACCTCTACACTACATCTGCAAATGTAAACACACACAGAAAAAGCAAATGAAAATGTAATTGTAACGATGGAATATCTGGCAATGTAACTTGAGTGTCCTCTGGTTCCTATTGCACGCTGACCGCAGGAGGACAGTCGCAGTGGTGTGAACGACCCATACAAACACACAGAACAAACATATCTGCAGTGAGCGCTGCGGAGGAAGTGTTTTCCTTTTTAGGGTGTCTGGGATCCAGACCTCTTGAAGCTACCCAGCAGACTCTGAACACCCTTCTTCACACTGGATCCGACCCTGCGGGCGACGGAGTCAGCAGGCGGGCCGGGCAGACAAGAGCTGCCACTGCTGGGGGGCCGAGCGTCCAGGCACTTCTGATACCTCAGCTGTGAATGATGGAATACATCATTGAAACTCTAAATATTATAGCAACATATTTCAGCTTGAACTAGGGTTGTCAGATTATACTCTGTAATCTTATTTAAACTTGAACTGTAAAACTGAACTGTAGCTTCTGCACCCAAAAAACATCAAACAAGTCTCCCCAAAAACCCCGGTCAGTCCCCAAACACTAGCAAATCATGCTCCACTGCTTGAGCCAGACCAACAGAAATGTTTTACATTTGGGAGAGGGACTGTTTACTGCAAGTTAAATTAATTCTTCACTGCACATGTGGAAGAGATTGGGGAGTTCGTGGCTAGTGTTGCACACTTTCTTATATTTATTATTGGTGTTCTTTGCCTTTAGTATATATTACAGTAGAGAGCAAAGAGGAAGCAAATAACCAACAGTGTCTGGCATTACTTTAACCTTTAAAAAAAAAGTGCATACACAATTGGGATTTGAGAGCTGTAGCGGAGGGGCCAGCAATAAATGACTTAAAAATCACAGTGTTCATGCTCTTCAAGAAGTATTGTGAAACATTTCCCCAGTATTACACTCTTTGCACTGGCTGCCGATTTGTTATAGAATTGATTTCAAAATTTTACTTTTTGTTTTTAAAGCTCTGTCATTAAGGTCATCTCAACAAAGATTGCTGTTGCTTCTGAGATTTAGGGCCTCGGTTATAAAGTGTGCGTCACTCCGGAAAAAAAATCCACGCCAGCGTTCAATATTTGTAAAAAGGGTCTTTGACGTGGAAAAGTGTTTAGCGTCACATCACGGTCTGAGCAGACGTACTCACTTTTCCAGAAACCTGCAGTACTCCAACAAGAAAATGTAAGCTGTTCTTGCAGCTCGCTGTTTTGAATTAAAGCATTTGGATGATCTTTTATGTTAATGACATTAATTAGGAGTTTACAAGGCAGAGAGCTGAAACCATTCAGTTGCGCACAAGTTCAAGATCATTTACGATTCATAGATTTCACATCTGAGAGGCGTAGGTGTGTTTTCTGTGCATATGTTCATTCTATGAATCACACGTACGCATATTTGAGAGATGATCGCAAGTTCAAATTTAGGATGGTTTCTGTGCAACATTTTATAAATGAGGCCCCTAGACTCAAGTCGAGGGGTGTCCGAGCTTTTATTTTGTTTATCCTTGAGATTAATCTCCAGAGAGTCTGAATTTAAATCTAAGTTCAAAACTTACCTTTTCTCTCAGGTTTACAACTTCTTTTGATTTTTAAAGTTGAATTTTCTGATCTTGATGTAAACTTTATGATTGCTTTGTAGTTTTTTTTACTCTCTTTTTTTAGATTTTTATCCTTTGTCTTTTTTGTTCAGCACAATGGTCATCTACTGTTGTTTTTATTTGTGCTATATGACTGATTTGATTTGATCATGTAGATCAAACTCGTCCTTACTCACCATACAGGCGGCCTGTACAGCCTCACTTAGACTTGCAGCGTTTGGATCACACCAGAACATGTGACATATAAAGTCTCCAGGTCCCTCTGCCATTATGAATGCAAACGTGTGCACATCCTTCCCAACTCCCATAAATGACAGGAAACGCACACGACATTCAGAAAGAACTTCCTCCGTCTGTGACAATGAGACAAGAAATATCAGTGTGGTTATCTAATAAAATTTTTATGATACAGCATTACATATAATACTCAAGTACCGCATAATGTCAACAAACAGAAACCTGACCTCAGAATTCAGAATAGTGAGTGTAGCGGACGCCACGTTCACAGTCACAGGTGTCCAATCCTCCTTGTCTTTGCCGTTAAGAGCATTCTCCAATGCTACATTAATCACATCCACGCCTTCAAGAGACAGATACAGACACGACTCAACTTCAATTTCAGGCAGCTAACTTTGATTTAAACATGAAATGCATACATGCTATTTTAAGTGCTTACAGTGTATGACATAGCTACACAAAAATGGGGAAAATGCAGGTAAAACTTGTACTTTGTGTATAATAGTATAATGCAGTGCCGTATAATAGCAGTTAATGAGGACTCCCTACCAGCTGGCTTTGTCACTGGCACACGACCCAAGTACCGCACCTGGAAGCGCTGGACCAGCTCGTTCTTGGGAGCTGGGAACTCTGAAGGAATAAAGATCTGATTCAGTCTTAATGGTATCATTTCATTATTATCCATTACAGTACTCACTTGAGAAGGAGGGAGAAATATCTGATGCACACGTGTAGTCAAACCCAACAGTCAACAGTTACATACTGTACTGCAGACCGTCCACAAACAAAAGCAAAATTCATGTCATAAGTTACCCTGGAAGGGGATGTCCCTAAGTCTTGAGGGGTCAGTGTTCAGTCTGCTGGACGACTTCCTCTGGGCCATTATCTAGGGATATACACAAGACAAAACAATATAAAACAAAACACATGGACATAATTGCATCAGCAGTCCAAACTGATATAAAAGAGTAAGACACACAGGTGTTAACTACAAATAGAAATACTGATACTTGTGTATACAGAGTAAAAATAAATGACTAGAAAAACACCTAGTGTATCACGTTGTTAAAATCAAAAGTTACAATTGTTTTATTTAATGAACTAACAGTTGTAGGCTATTTTTTTAACAAAGATGAATGACTTCTGAAGCAAATGTAGCTATTGCTCATTACTATGCATTAACTAAGGTTAACTAATGAGATTTTATCATAAAGTGTTACTTGTTGGTCTTTATAATTCTTTTGCACTTTAATCTGTGAGAATTTTTTTAACTTTTACATACAATAAAGTAATATTTCGCAACATGAAAATTTGATACAGTCATATGCCTATACCCAGATGGACGATGTCTCTGCCAAGCAGCAGGAGAATCTCTGCAGAGGTGGTCAGCTCTATAGCTTTAAAGGGGTCATGAACTGAGAAATCAAAATTCCTTTGATCTTTTGACATATAAGAGGTCACTGTACTGTAAAAACATCCTGTAAGTTTCAGAACTCAAAACTTTCTCATTAGTCTAAAAACAGCTTATATTGAAGCCAGACTGGCAAAACAACAGCTTGTGGGATGTACAACTATGATGTAATAGTGTGGATAAGCACCACCTCCGCAGAAGATCAATGCCTGCTTCTACTTCGCTGCCTGTTTAGCCCTGCCCACAGTTTCTGCCTGTTTAGCCCCGCCCACAGTTTCAACATCGCTGCCTGATTAGCCCCGCCCAGTTTCAACATCGCTGCCAGTTTTGCCCCGCCCAGTTTCAACATCGCTGCCAGTTTAGCCCCGCCCACAGTTTCATCATCGCTGCCTGTTTAGCCCTGCCCACAGTTTCAACATCGCTGGCTGTTTAGCCCCGCCCACAGATTTTACATCGCTGCCTGTTTAGCCCCGCCCACAGATTTTACATCGATGCCTGTTGAGCCACTGCCTGTTTAACGCAGGTCGACGCAGAAACCAAACGACAAAAATGTTTCGAAGACAACAAGCGGAGCGCTCACACAGAATCACATAGGATCGTTTGAAAGACGTGTCTATAGACGCGGTTTTCAAAAACTCCCGTGTGCTTCTGTGTGAGCGCTTGGTGAAGAGTGTGAAGTGATGATCATAGTAGTCAATCACAGTCATATCTGTTGAGCACATGAACACTATGGCCAATTAGCGTTGTTTAAGAATCTGCTCAACAGGGCTCAAATGTTAGCGGGAAATTGACTTTTTTTTAAATTGCAGTACCGACTGGTACCAAAGTCAGTACTTTTGCCAACACTTGTACCCATATTTATTTCACATTTCATTTTTGTATATGTAGGTTTGTCAGCTACATCACATACTATTAATCGCCTCATTTTGAATAAGTTTTCTGATTAGCCTCCAGTTATCAAACCTGTGTAAGTTTCAGGGTTTTATTATAGTCCACTTCAGATTACTAACAGTAAGTAACTTTGCAACTACATGTCAACTAGCAGTCATTCGAGTATTAGTAGACTGTCTGCTTAATATCTTCTAACACTTTATTTTGATGGTTCCACAACATACAACACACTGACTATGAGAAACTTTGAAAGTATATGTCAACGTATTCTACTAACCCTAAACCAAACCTAACAGTCCACTCTGAGAGTTAGTAGACATGTATTGAGCACATGAACACTATGGCCAATTAGCGTTGTTTAAGAATCTGCTCAACAGGGCTCAAATGTTAGCGGGAAATTGACTTTTTTTTTAAATTGCAGTACCGACTGGTACCAAAGTCAGTACTTTTGCCAACACTTGTACCCATATTTATTTCACATTTCATTTTTGTATATGTAGGTTTGTCAGCTACATCACATACTATTAATCGCCTCATTTTGAATAAGTTTTCTGATTAGCCTCCAGTTATCAAACCTGTGTAAGTTTCAGGGTTTTATTATAGTCCACTTCAGATTACTAACAGTAAGTAACTTTGCAACTACATGTCAACTAGCAGTCATTCGAGTATTAGTAGACTGTCTGCTTAATATCTTCTAACACTTTATTTTGATGGTTCCACAACATACAACACACTGACTATGAGAAACTTTGAAAGTATATGTCAACGTATTCTACTAACCCTAAACCAAACCTAACAGTCCACTCTGAGAGTTAGTAGACATGTCAACTAATTCTCATTAATTTGCAGCTACATGTAGTTGCAAAGTTACTTATAGTTAGTAGAATGTCTAAAGTGGACTATCAAAAAGTGTAACCTAAGTTTCTTCTGTTGAGCACAAAACAAGATATTTTGAAGAATGTTGTAGCCAATGACTTACACAGAATAGAAAAAAATGCTAGGAAATTCAATGGCTACGATCAACTGTTTGGCATCAAAATTTCTCAAAATATTTAAAAATTTTGAAAAAAGAATCATACCCTCCACTTAATCCAAACCTGTGAGTAAATGATGACAGAACTTTCGTTTTTGAACTATTCCTTTAAACACTCGACACATTGCCGTTTCAATAAATGTAGAAAATTTTGGACACTACAGCACAGTGCACAATGTCTATGATATTTAATCAAGAATATGAGTATTTTTAGCCAGCAGCTATGATGTCCTCACCTTTGAGCAGATGTCATGCAGGCTTGTGGCGATGTTCTTTGCAGGGGTGTCACACCGAAATACATGACACTTGAGCACGTGAGTCAACTTGTCTCGTGCCACATATGCAAAGTCCCTGTAGTAAGCGACAAATGACAACATGCATATGTTTATGTTTGTCTCATCACTTCAATTTATCCACACACCCATAAACACATGCACGCACAGTAACAAATGTCTTGTATGTGTGTGAAACCTTGGGTCCCTGAATAGGAAACGAGATGCAATATTATGGCTGATGCTATGGGAACACGCTTGAGCCCATAAAGAGTCATGACATTTTATTGGCAGATAGTGCTAACTCTGCTCACTGAGGCGTTTCTTCTCTGATGCCTTTTAAGAATGTGGACTCTATTTCATATGAAGGAAACCAAGCAGATATGTAGTATGGCCAGCTACACAGCGTTTTGTTCTCTATTCAGGGAATCAAGGTTACATATGTAACCAAGACATTCCCTTTCAAAGGTATACTTTGACACTGCAGCAGTAGCCGACACTATACCATCACACCGCCACACAGATATCTTCCAACGATACTCCTCAGCCCAAAGTAGGGCTGCACGATTAATCAAAATTATTATGCACTACGGTCGTAAGAACACGCTCATACAACTTGAACCGAGTCTCTGGCTGGACGGACATCATTGCATCCAAAAGATTAACGCTTTGAGAGCTTCTGAACTTGGGCACAAATGCCAACATATCCACTCTATGGAGCGAGGACCTCTGAGTGTGAACCACTAACTATAAGAAAACTCCCAAAATCCATACTCCGATATATAATGCTGCATCCACTGACAGATGATTCGTCTTCCTGAAGAGAAATCAGCACAAGCTCGTCCTTATGAGGTGTCAGTGACGCAATGCCTCAGTGGATGGTGCTAGTATTATCTGCCAATAAATAGGCATTATTCTATACAAGCTTCAGACTATCGTCAAATCCAAGGGTTTGTTAGCGTCAGCTGTTGATGTAGTGCCGAAGTAAACCTATGAAAGGAAACATCTTGCGTTTGCTCTAATTCTTGTTTGTACAATTTTGGGAAATCATTCCCAAAATGTGGAGTAAGACTAATACCTCTAAGTGAATTTGACATTAATCATATTTTTAACTGTAATATATTGTTATATAAAAATAGTGAAATACTTCTATAAGTTAATATATTTAAATAGTTATTAGTTTGTCAACTAGGGTTGGACAACTAATACACATATTGCAATAGAAATTACAATATGGCTTAGTGCGATTACCAAATGACAAAAGAAAGTGATTTAATTAAATATATATAGTCTGATGCACTCTGCACTGCTGACAATTTTACATCTAGCCATGTAAGTATATCACAGCACTACCACTGTCTTTAGCATGTCAAGTGTATGGTAATTTAGTCAGAAACCACAAATCTGTATTTTAGCAGTACAGAGCAGCAACTTGTAAATGACCTGGAAGTTACTGCTGGTTAATATTTAGACTTAATGGACCACAATTCAGTCACTATATTATACTAACAATATGTTATGCACAGAGTAGAAAGGAAGCAGAGAGCTGTAAAGGGCTGACAATACGCAGAATGCAAATACAATACATTGATGTGATGTCATGAATATGCTAATGAATGTCATCAAGGTGACACTTTGAATCTTTACACAGATCTTTTCCAGACAACAGTAGTTCAGTCACCACAATTTTCAAGTTTCAATAAATAATAAATAAAAACATTTATATTAATATTATATTATCCAAATCTTATTTTTTCTGAAGCTCTCAAACTAATTCAGTTTAGACATGCAGAACAGAAAATAATATTTGAGAGCTGCACTAGAGGGGAAGATTTTCAGGGAATAACTTCTGCTCATCACACAAAGCCATCACATGCATTCAGAAGAAAAAGAATATAGTGCATGATACATTTACATTGTTTTTAGAAGCTTAACAGCTGTGGTATGTTTGTATGAACAGTTGTTGAATGTAAAAGAGTGACATAAATATTCCTCCAAAATTGTCCTTTTGTGTTAAACAGAGGAAAGTCTAATCGACACACGGGTGAGAAAATAATGAAATTTCATTTTTGGGTGCATTACACTTGGTATTGTAATAAGTATACAAAAGCTAACAAACAATACAATACAGTAACACACTACCTCTCCCTGGGATCCAGGATGCAGCAGGACAGACAGAACAAAAACACAACATCATAATTCAGCAAAATCTAAATTATTTGAAAATAAGCAGCTTCAGACAGTGTTGCAGTTGCTACAAAAGTGATGAAACTCAACGTAAAAGCCGATTTATTTCCGTCAGCGCCCGCATAAGTGGATTGCATTGAAGCATTTAGATAAACCCAGTCTTCAGAAGTGACTTCGCTCCTTCTCAAAGGAGCAAGGTTCCTCCTTCGGACATGAATGACAGCTTTTTCAGTAATTATTTTCTTGTCCTGAAGAAAGACAGAGGACTGTGCCGCATCCAGGATCTGTCTCACTTGAATTTTTACCTTTACAAAGTTCATCACTGTAGTAGACCTGAAGGATGCTTATTTTTATATTCAGGTTGTTCAGTGACACAGAAGGTTGCTCAGGTTTGCCTCACGGGGAGAGGCGTACCAATATCAGGTTATGCCTTTTGGTCTGGCTTTGGTTCCACAGACTTTCACAAAAGGGCCTTTCGCACCACTTTAGTTCCAGAACTAAATGTACAGTACTAAAGTACTGGGACGATTTTGCGCGAACTATTTCCCAGTACCATTTAAAGGGTTGCATTCGCACCAACGGTGTGTACCAAGAAGTGACGTAAGCCGGTCGACAGCGATGTCATTTGTGCGCGGCATTCAATAACAGAAACAAAGAAGAACAACGTTAACAACAGGAGGATGGAGGACGCTGTGATCGGAGTGGTTTTTGTTGTGTCTTGCGGGTTTCACAATAATGGACATGGAAAGTCGACGTATACGTAAAGCGATTGAAAGAACGGAAAGGAGGACTAAGAATCTCCAACGACAACTGGCAGTGCTACATTTGCTACAAGTGCCTGCACTTCAGCGTCCGTCCATCTATCGCTGTTCTCCATACTTAAAAAATAAGTTGACACACTGTTTACAGTATGTTTACACGGCGTTATAAAACATGGCGGGTGAGGGTGTTTTCGTATGCGTTTGGCCAATCAATGTCTACTTGCATCACGATTAGTACCAGTTGTGCTGGTTAGACCCTGCTCCGGAGTAGGAGCTAATTTGATTCTCGACAAAGGCAGTCCGGTACTAAAATCGCACCCAGTTCCGGTGGTGCAAAAATGCCAAAAAGTGGGTAGTTCCACAATTAGTTCTGGTACTATGAAAAGGTTCCCGCGGTGCGGAAGGCCCTAAAGTACATGGATGCTGCTGTGGCCCTGCTGAGGCTGGATGATTATTTATTACATTTATATAGCGCTTTTCTAGGCACTCAAAGCCCTTTACATTGTCAGGGGGTATCTCTTCATCCACCACCAGTGTGCAGCATCCACCTGGATGATGCGACGGCAGCCATAGTGCGCCAGAACTCCCACCACACACCAGCTTATTGGTGGAGAGGAGGCAGAGTGATGAAGCCAATCAGTAGATATGGGGATTGTTAGGAGGCCATGATGATCAGAGGCCAATGGGCAAATTTCACACCTCTACTCTTTTCGAAAGACTTTTTTTAAGGATTTTTAATGACCACAGAGAGTCAGGACCTCGGTTTAACGTCTCATCCAAAGGACGGTGCTTGTTGACAGTATAGTGTCCCTGTCACTATACTAGGGCATTAGGACCCACACAGACCACAGGATGAGCACCCCCTGCTGGCCTCACTAACACCACTTCCAGCAGCAACTTAGTTTTCCCAGGAGGTCTCCCATCCAGTTACTGACCAGGCTCAGCCCTGCTGAGCTTCAGTGGGCAACCAGTCTTGGGCTACAGGATGATATGACTGCCGGCTGGATCCTGGCCCAACCCAGGGAATTGGTGTCTCGTCACAGGGACATTCTTCAGGATCTGGCACCTTTGGCCCGAGATTTGGAGGCTGTGAGTGTGGTCGATTAAGGGTGATCAGTTGTAACCTTCCACTAGGAGGCTTTATTTTTTCCAAGTGGAATGTTTTTGGGTCTTGGTGTTTGGCTCATGTAGTAGATCCAGTCAACTGCCCGATTGGTTCAGTGCTACACTTTTTGCAGAAGTGGTTTGCGGTTGGAGTGGCTTTGAGGGTTTATGTCACAGCTATCGCTGCTCGTCGGGATTCGGACGGAGCCCCCTTAGGTAGGCATCATCTGGTCTCTTTGTTCATGCCTGGAGTTAGGCTTTGAGCCCTACACTCCCCTGGGACTTGTCTATTGTCCTGGAGGGCTTATCAGAGTTGCCTTTTGAGCTTTTGGAGTCAGAATTAATATAATAAGCGAGTACATCATGAATCCATTTACCAAACAATGTTTTTGGCTTATCCTGTATCACTACGGTACACCTATAATAAGTTTTTATATTCAGACTATTTCAGACTGGAACTGGGTTGTAGTGCGGAGTAGCCCAGTACCTGCGTGATTCGTCATAGACATAAACAGAGAGAAGTAGCTCCGGCTACAATGTTCTTCCACAAGACTCACACAGTTCTGTTTAATAACCGCTAGAGCGCCAAAAGTTACAGAATGCAGCTTTATTGTCCTGGAGGGCTAATCAGAGTTGCCTTTTGAGCTTTTGGAGTGAGCTTCCGACTGAATTTTGACTCTTAAGGCGACGTTTGTTGGTAGGGCTGTGCGATATGACAATATATATCGGATAAACGAAATAAAAGGTCTATCGTTTCATGTTATGATCTATCGTTTATTTTGTGGTGTCGCAAAATGCATTGTTTACATTAATACTTTCATCATTTGGATGACTGCGATCTTTACACGCCATCACAGGGCGTGAAGGGGAAACAGAACCAAGAGAACGACCAGCCAGGACAAAACGAGGAGCTCGTTCCTAAACGAGGGACTACATCTGTAGCATAGACACACGTTTTTAAGCACTGCAGTTTTAAAACAACCGGTTTTAAGCCATTGAAACAGATACAACAGAGCTATATGCGTGTGCCGTCGTCTCTGTTTCTGTGTGAGAGGAACGCGCATTTTTTGCCGCTTTATTGGCTTTGAACGATTACATAAACACACTTATATTCGTCATAATCCCTGTCTTTGCAAGTATCCTCATAAACACAGTTATTTAGGTCTTAAGGGAGAGTAAACAGCTGAAAAAGAAAATGCATTTGAACAGTATATTAGATCTGGACTTCGGTCTTAAAGGGGAAGCTGTCCAATATTCGTCCCGTCTGCCATTCATATTAATCAAACAACAGTGAGAGAAAACCTAGATAGATTACTAACCTATCTAGATAGATAGATATAATTAACACAGTGAAGACTAAATTTACACAATGTATGTAGCGTTTCTTATTTAGTTGAATAAGTAGTTTTTTGTCCTATTTCTTGCAATTCGTTTCTTATCCTTATTTCATCACTGACTGTTTATTCATCTTCAGTGAGCTTGAGGGGGTTTTTTGTCTCTTTTTAGGCTTGTATTAGTTTGATATTGACATTGGTGACAAGGATTACGAAAATTCTATGGTATCAAAGATTTTAATATCATAAAAACCTTTTTAAAAGAAAAAAAAATAACTATATAGTGATATGTATTGTTATCGTGATATGAAATTAGTCCTATCGTGATATAAGATTTTGGTCATATCGCCCACCCCTACTTGTTGGCATTGGCTTCTCTTAAGTGTGTAGAGGATTTGCAGGCTCTCTCTGTGAGTGAGTCATGCATGGAGTGTGCTCCTGGCTTTGTTAAGGCATTTTTACAGCCCAGGCCAGGATTTAGATGCGGCTCCGGGTTCTTTCTGCTTGAATTAGCCATTTGGTTTTAGCCTGCCCAAATTTATTTCAGGCCAGATGTGGCAGTGCTTAGCTTGGCGTGTGTGGAATATCGTTCTCATTGCATCATCGCTATGCAGCATTGATTGAACCTATGAAAGAAATCGTCTCTGGTTACTTGAGTAACCCATGTTCTCCGAATAGGGAAAAAGACGCTGCATTCACTACAAAACTCCTTGTGCAGCAGACTGAACTTCTATGGTAGGAAAACTGAGGAGCGGATGGCGTGTTCACTAGTATTAGAGTGAGTGACGTAGCGTCACCAAGGTGGTGCTCGCGCCATCAGCCAATGAATTGGCGTGATTCTAAATGGGCTTCAGACAACTGGCACACCCAAGGGGCATTCCCACAGCATCATCGCTACACAGCACCCTGCGTAATATGGGTAAAGCAAGTAACCTGAGACTTTTTCCATCCCCAAATTTAAATGTGAACGTATATATGTTCTTACACCCCCAGCTCTTAAAGCATAATTTTGCCTTCTTGAGCATCAGTGAATGTTTTGCAGCTCGGTGTGAAAAGATCGTCATACTGTTACTGTTGGCAAGGGGACAAATATGCAGAAGATGCTGGAAAACCAAAGAGCGTGCAGGACCTGGAGAATTTTTCTGAAGAACACCGTTAGACTTACGTTGCGGTTTCTTTTGCTAAAGATAGTTATTTCATTTATCTTACATTTTAGAAAATTAAGCAATGTTAATTCTGTTCTTATATGAAACCAAAAAAAAAGATAACAATTTTGTGAAATGCATTAATAATGTTGCTTTGTGAAAACAAAAAAATTCTTGATTTGCACACATATGCACAAACCTCGCCCCAGATGCCAGCGGTGTCATCTAGATTGTGTTTCTGGTAGGACAGCTGTCGGATACAGTTATTAACGGCAACACTACTCCTGCCAGGAGCCATCTCCTCTTCCGATATCTCCACCCAGCCCAGAGAGCGCACTGCAAAACACTGCATAACACACAAGCAAACATTGAGAAAACAAGCATCTTGATGTAGTGTATGTGGTCAGTCACCTGTGTGCTTTACCTTTGCCCCCTCATTGCTGCTGAAATAAGTCTGTTCCTCTTCCTCCTCAGACTGAGAAAAACTGCACACAACAGGAAGATGACACAGAGAGAAGGATCAATGCTCCTTTTGCTCAAACAGCAGAGCCTGGCACGAACAAGGCCAAGATCATGGCCTCAATTACTAAGAACTTAAGTTGAATGCAACGTAAGTGACATTAGATAAAAAGTGTGTGCCCAATTCATAAATGCAATAAATGTACATGCACATATGACATAATACTGTGTAACGCTCCGCTTCAGGAGTCTGTGCTGTTTAACTAATCTTATACCTGAGATTGATGGAGGCATAACGTAGAGTCGCTCCCTCAAACTCCTTCAGACTTTCATCAGAAGCCACATCCTCCTTCTAAACAATAAATAAGCATTATATGGACTTACAAAAACAGAATGAGACTGTCTGTGACTCCATTACGAACCTACCTGCCAATGCTCTTCCTCACTGAATGTGCTTGGATGAGAAACACCGCTCCATGTAAGCTAAATACAAATGGGTTCATGTTTAAAGACATCAGCACTCGCATGGTTACAATGACACTAATGTTGGGAAACTTGAGAGCTATAATGTTATATTAATGGAATATTATAAACAGCACACAATTTTCTATAAGTTGAAATGTTTATGATGATGTATAATAGGTGTGTGCACCTGTGGCTCATCAGCAGGTGTGACCGCAGGCGATGTGCTGGCTGGTCTCTCCTCTAGGGGCCCAGGTGGCTCCCACTGTGTGGTACCTGTGGGAATGTGCCAGTAGTAGGTGCCTGATGTGTCCTGCACACGCATCCAACCAGCGGGCAGGTCCGTGTCTGTTTCAAATGCACTACCATCCCAGTAGGACTCTACAACCAACAATAAAACGAGATATTCTTTATCAACATATCAAAATCACTGTAAGTCACAGGCAGCATAGCATGTGCACATCAGAAAATGTTACCCTTCATTTTACAGCAGGGATCCTCAAATCTGGCAACCATGATCAAACTATCCTGTGATTTTCTAATGATCATTGATAAGCATGCTCAGGTGTATTTGATTAGGGTTAGAGCTAAACTCTGCAGGAAAGTGGATCTCGTGAGCCAGATTTGAGGATCCCTGTTTTACAGCACAAAATTAGAAGGCCAGCACAAAAGTCAGCAGGTCATGATCCAGTTACACAACATGCTTCTCAGCTGTGTAATAATAATGTAGTGAACCAAATAATGTGAAGGTATCAGTCTAGCTGCATTTCGGATCGGAGACAATTATCCAACCAACCGAACACTTGATTCCCTAACATCTGTAGGGAATCATTAATAGTATAGTTGATCTGAATGCACATAATATACCTAAATCAAGATATGTAATTCAGATGCTTATGTAAAGTATCTTGAAATACTGAACAAAATTAAGTTAGTTTAAGCTTAAAGGGTTAGTTCACCCAAAAATGAAAATTCTGTCATTAATTACTCACCCTTATGTCATTCCAAACCCGTAAGACCTTCGTACATCTTCAGAACACAAATTAAGATATCTTTGATAAGATCTGAGAGCTGTCTGGCCCTGCATAGACAGCAATGCAACTCCAGAAACGTAGCAAGGACATCGATAAAACAGTCTATGTGACATCAGTGGCTCAGCTTTAATTTTACGAAGCTACGAGAATACTTTTTGTTCACAAAGAAAACAATAATAACATAATTTATTCAACAATTCTACTCCCAGAGTTACGTCTTCCGCCATTTTGGAGAGTACCCCAGAACATATTGTAATCAGCGTTGTTTATGTTCAGTAGACAGCGTGGCCTCAATTACTAAGAACTTAAGTTGAACGTAAGTGGCTTTAGATAAAAAGCGTCTGCCCAATTCATAAATGCGATAATATGTAAATGTACATGTGGCATAATACTGTGTAACGCTCCGCTTCAGGAGTCTGTGCTGTTTAACTAATCTTATACCTGAGATTGATGGAGGCATAACGTAGAGTCGCTCCCTCAAACTCCTTCAGACTTTCATCAGAAGCCACATCCTCCTTCTAAACAATAAATAAGCATTATATGGACTTACAAAAACAGAATGAGACTGTCTGTGACTCCATTACGAACCTACCTGCCAATGCTCTTCCTCACTGAATGTGCTTGGATGAGAAACACCGCTCCATGTAAGCTAAATACAAATGGGTTCATGTTTAAAGACATCAGCACTCGCATGGTTACAATGACACTAATGTTGGGAAACTTGAGAGCTATAATGTTATATTAATGGAATATTATAAACAGCACACAATTTTCTATAAGTTGAAATGTTTATGATGATGTATAATAGGTGTGTGCACCTGTGGCTCATCAGCAGGTGTGACCGCAGGCGATGTGCTGGCTGGTCTCTCCTCTAGGGGCCCAGGTGGCTCCCACTGTGTGGTACCTGTGGGAATGTGCCAGTAGTAGGTGCCTGATGTGTCCTGCACACGCATCCAACCAGCGGGCAGGTCCGTGTCTGTTTCAAATGCACTACCATCCCAGTAGGACTCTACAACCAACAATAAAACGAGATATTCTTTATCAACATATCAAAATCACTGTAAGTCACAGGCAGCATAGCATGTGCACATCAGAAAATGTTACCCTTCATTTTACAGCAGGGATCCTCAAATCTGGCAACCATGATCAAACTATCCTGTGATTTTCTAATGATCATTGATAAGCATGCTCAGGTGTATTTGATTAGGGTTAGAGCTAAACTCTGCAGGAAAGTGGATCTCGTGAGCCAGATTTGAGGATCCCTGTTTTACAGCACAAAATTAGAAGGCCAGCACAAAAGTCAGCAGGTCATGATCCAGTTACACAACATGCTTCTCAGCTGTGTAATAATAATGTAGTGAACCAAATAATGTGAAGGTATCAGTCTAGCTGCATTTCGGATCGGAGACAATTATCCAACCAACCGAACACTTGATTCCCTAACATCTGTAGGGAATCATTAATAGTATAGTTGATCTGAATGCACATAATATACCTAAATCAAGATATGTAATTCAGATGCTTATGTAAAGTATCTTGAAATACTGAACAAAATTAAGTTAGTTTAAGCTTAAAGGGTTAGTTCACCCAAAAATGAAAATTCTGTCATTAATTACTCACCCTTATGTCATTCCAAACCCGTAAGACCTTCGTACATCTTCAGAACACAAATTAAGATATCTTTGATAAGATCTGAGAGCTGTCTGGCCCTGCATAGACAGCAATGCAACTCCAGAAACGTAGCAAGGACATCGATAAAACAGTCTATGTAACATCAGTGGCTCAGCTTTAATTTTACGAAGCTACGAGAATACTTTTTGTTCACAAAGAAAACAATAATAACATAATTTATTCAACAATTCTACTCCCAGAGTTACGTCTTCCGCCATTTTGGAGAGTACCCCAGAACATATTGTAATCAGCGTTGTTTATGTTCAGTAGACAGCGTGCGCATGTGTTCTGAGATACTCTCCAAAATGGCGAAGTTTCATAAAATTACGGTTGAACCACTGATGTCACATGGACTGTGTTATCGATGTCTTTGCTAAGTTTCTGGACCTGGGAACATTGCAGTTGCATTGCTGTTTATGCAGGGTCAGAGAGCGCTCAGATTTGATAAAAAATATCTTAATTTGTGTTCTGAGGATGAACGAAGGTCTTACAGGTTTCGAACGACATGAGGGTGAGTAATTAATGACAGAATTTTCATTTTTGGGTGAACTAACCCTTTAAAGGAGACCTATTATGCCCTTTTTACAGTATGAAATATAAGTCTCAGGCGTCCCCAGAATGTGTCTGTGAAGTTTTAGCTCAAAATACTCCACAGACCATTTATTATATCATTTTGAAAATGCCTATTTTGAGTGGAAGCAGAAACAGGCTGTTTTCATGCATGTCTCTTTAAATGCAATTGAGCTGCTGCTCCCTGCCCCATTTTCCAGAATAGGGATGGGCCTTTACAGTTCGTTCCTCAGATACTCTGATAAAACATTTTAAAAAAACAGTAAAATCTGAGCGGCTAGTTTTTTCACAAGCTTGCAGAGAAAAACGATTTTCACATCTGAGCCACTAAATGACTCACTCATTAAAATAGTCTTTTGCCTCCATGGTTTGGTTTCATATTTAAAAGTATCATTGCATTATTCCCAACATTTCTAACTTCAAAAAATGATTTAAAACATTAATCTTATAACATTATTTATGCATTTGCAATTTTGCAGTGTAAATGCCTTTATGGCACCTTAACTTCATTAAACAGTTTGTGTAAATACGTCTAATGCCACTTCAGATGCAGCTTCTGTTTCCTCTACAGTGCAAAGAAGGAGTTTGTTGATACATATTTATTTTGAATGGTAATTCTAACTGAATTAATCACAACAGTGTAAGAATTTGATGTAAAAGATAATTTATTAAATTTAGGGATAAAAAGGCTCATTTTTAAACATAAGGAAATAACACCCATTTTGTTATACAGCAACTCTGTCAAATATACAATATGCTATCAAATATGGTTCTTAGAAAAAACGCAATCGGCCAAGAAAAATGCAATCAGTGCAGAAAACTTATTTATTTTGAATTAAGTTGAGTTTTCTGAGACTACTGACAGATTTGTTTTTTATTTAGATGAATTTCACAGAAAACAAGACTTCTTATGCCATTCGATTAAATGTATCTTGATTTAAAGAGCAGGTCATATAGGTTTTTGAAAATATCTCTTTTGCAGTTTATAACGTAGCTATCCTTAAATGAAAACAATCTGCAAAGTTGTTAACCAAAAAAGTGCATGATAAATAAAGATATTGTCTCTCAAAAGAGTGAATCGATTCTGAATCGCCTTAACGAGTTGTCATATTTGCGAATCTTTTGCCTGTTACGTCACTGGGTAACACATTTGCATAATCCCCGCCTGCTCGGGGGTTACAGAGTCTGACCTGCCCACAAACACTTCCGCTAGTTAGTGTGTTTACATCATGTTGAGAAGATGCTGTGTTCAAGAATACCATAGAAATACAATTCGAACCTTTTGTTGTGTGCATGTCATTTTACCAAGGACTGCTTCTCTAATCTTGGCTTTTATCTTCATTGGCTTCTAATCTTCTTAATTTGGACTAACAAGCTCTCCGAACCACAACCTGTAAGTACGATTGATACGTTATGTGTAC